ACACCGACCACCAGAGACTTATTTAACAGACAACCGACCAGAGACTTATTTAAACACCCACCGACCAGAGACTTATTTAAACACCAGAGACAACAGAGACTTATTTAACACCGACCAGAGACTTATTTAACACCACTAGAGACTTATTTAACACCGACCAGAGACTTATTTAACACCGACCAGAGACTTATTTAACACCGACCAGAGACTTATTTAACACCGACCAGAGACTTATTTAACACCGACCAGAGACTTATTTAACACCGACCAGAGACTTATTTAACACCGACCAGAGACTTATTTAACACCGACCAGAGACTTATTTAACCGACCAGAGACTTATTTAACACGACCAGAGACTTATTTACCAGACCAGAGATTTATTTAACACCGACCAGAGACCTTATTTTTATTTAACCAGAGACTAACACGACCAGAGACTATTTAACACCGACCCAGAGACTTATTTAACACCGACCAGAGACTTATTTATTACACATTCGGGAGGGAAAAGATACAGAGGCAAAAGTTTAGACCTGGTTTAGTTTTCCACTTTATTATCGGTTTTAGTCCTGTTTTAGTCCTTAGTTTTAGTCCCTTTAGTCCTGTTTTAGTCCTGTTTTATAGTCCTGGTTAGTCCTGCTTTAGTCCTGTCCTGTTTTAGTCCTGTTTTAGTCCTGGTTTAGTCCTGTTTAGTCCTGTTTAGTTGTTTTAGTCCTGTTTAGTCCTGGTTTCAGTCCTGTTTAGTTTTTAGTCCTGTTTTAGTCCTGTTTAGTCCTGTTTAGTCCTGTTTTAGTCCTGTTAGTCCTGTTTTAGTCCTGTTTTAGTCCTTGTTTTAGTCCTGGTTTTAGTCTGTTTAGTCCTGTTTTGTTGTTAGTCCTGTTTAGTCCTGTTCAGTCCTGGTTTCTCCTTTTAGTCCTGTTTTATCCTGTTTTAATCCTGTTTTAGTCCTGGTTTTTAGTCCTGTTTAGTCCTGGTTAGTCCTGTTTTAATCCTGGTTTAGTCTGGTTTAGTCCTGTTTTAGTCCTTTTAGTCCTGTTTTAGTCCTGTTTTAGTCCTGGTTCAGTCCTGTTTTAGTCCTGCTTTAGTCTGGTTCAGTCTGGTTCAGTCTGGTTCATTAGTTCTCTGCACACATAACACTTGGGAGTCTAAAGCAGTAATTAAAGTCTTAACGAGCAGAATATTTATAATGTTTTTAATGTGAAACTATAAAAGTGACAAACGAGGATTTCTCTAATGAACCTTTTACCAACAGAACCGTGCATTTGTTTAAAGGGAAGGTGATTCCTTTTATACTCGCACCATTTGTCTGATTTTAACCGAGACTCAGATCTGTTTAGTTTTGATTTTGTTTTAGGTTTTTATTTATTCATTTTGGCTTTTATTTTGTTTTTAAACAAAATGTGACACTGATGAAAACTGTGAGGAAATATTTGAGTGGACAGGTGTGATTTTTGGTGGGTGTAGTGCTCTCGCTCCATCTCGTTACTCCTCTCCTCCTCTCGTTCTCTCTCCCTCTCTGCCGTCTCTTCTCCTCTTCCTCTCTTTCTTTCTTCCTTCTCTTTGTGACGACCTCGGCCTGGTGTGTGTAGTGTGAACAGTGTTGGGAAGGTGACTTTTAAAATGTAATCCCCTACAGATTACAGATTACATATCCCAAAATGTAGTTTGTAACGTAATCCATTAAATTACTTAAAGTGAGTAATCGTAATCTGAATACTTTGGATTACTTGGTTTACTGTAGAGAAGCAAAGACGAGGAAATCGTAACATAAGATGTTTTGTTTGCTAAAAGAAAATAAAAGGCCCAGACTTTACTGAACCAAATTAAAAATATTATTGATAGAAGAAGAGGAGACATGGTCCATGCAGCAGGATTTAGTCCTGTTAAATCCTGTTTTAGACCTGGTTTAGTCTTAGTTTAGACCTGGTTTTAGACCTGGTTTAGGCCTGGTTTAATGTCCGACAATGAGTGGAATTACCGGGGGGAAAAAAAAAAAAAAAAAAGGGATATAGCCTGAAATGTGAAAACAGGAAAATACCACCATGTAATCCATTTATTTCAACAAAGTAACTGTAATCCAATTACCACTCACTGAAACAGTAACTGTAATTGTAACTGAATACAGTTACTCATAATTTGTACTCTGATTACATAACTCTGGTACATGTAATCTGTTACTCCACTGCAGTGAGTGTGAGGGAGCATGTTGTTGTTCAGACAGAGGGAGGAGCCATGCAGCTGGAGACGGCCCAGTCCACTCCTCTGTCTCTCCACCCTGCACTCACCACTTTATGTGCAGCCTGTTTTAAATACATTTCTGTCTTTGTAATCCCTTTTAGACTCCATCTTGTCCAAACCCCGAGCCAGTTTGTGACACTCTCCGTCTGTGGGCTCGTCTGGGATCAATACCCACGTTTTTGCTTAAGCTGAAGTTTTGTTTTGACAAATGGTGCCCGTGGTTGATCTTTGGGACCATTAGTTTCTGACTTTGGTCATC